TAATTTGGCAATGTTGGGAAAACAGGCGTGGAGATTGCTCACTAACCCAGACTCATTGGTAGCCAGGGTTTATAAGGCCAGGTATTACCCAAAGGATACTTTCCTAGAGGCAACTATAGGAAATAATCCAAGTTTCTGCTGGCGGAGCATTATGGCAGCTAAAGATTTAATATGTGGAGGTGTACGAAAGCGAATTGGGAACGGGGAATCTACCTTGATATGGGAACACCCTTGGTTACAGGATGAGATTGATCCTATGATTCATACGGAAATGCCACAACACCTGTCTGGAGCCAAAGTGGTAGGATTAATTGATCAGGATACAAAAACATGGGACCCGCACATACTAGCTGATATTTTCCAACCAGATGATATACCTAGAATTCAGAAAATACCGGTTGCCCCTGAGTATGAAGATATATGGTATTGGTATGATGATCCTAACGGTTATTATTCAGTCAAAAGTGGATATAGACGAATAGTTGGAAACTATGAGAACAATTCTAATGGGATTTTAGTGAATGGCTTACCCTATGGAAACTAAAAATCCCACCCAAATGGAAGACATTCTTATGGAGGGCTATTTGTGATATCCTCCCTACTACCAATAATTTGCTTATAAAGAGAGTGGAGATTAACCCGATGTGTGCCATGTGTGGAAGAATGAGTGAGGATACCATGCATGCATTAGTTTTGTGTGACTATGCACACTCCATATGGGCTAAATCCAACCTTCCAATCCCCATTATTATGACAAATGTTTTCCATGAATGGTTTAGTGCAATCTTGAATGTTCTAGACTTTGATGGAATTATTTATGCAGCTGCAATACTTTATCATTTATGGAGGGCGCGAAACGGTGCAGTGTGGGATGCCTGCCTACCAACGCCAACCAAGCTATTATTGACTGCAACGTCCACGATGAAGGCGTGGAAAATGGTTCACCACCGTGCGCCACAGCCGGAACGGGGCCAAGGAACCGCCGCTACTGCCCGTACCGCCGCTGCTGCCCATACCGCCGCTACTGCCCGTACTGCCGACCAGCCTCCGCTGCCGCCTACTGCTGGACCGACTGCCGCTTTTCCACCGCCGCTGCTGCCCGTACTGCCGGACCCGCACCATGGTGTATCACCATCACCGGTAAAATGCTACATGGACGCCAGCTACCACCACGGAACGAATGCCGCTGCTGTTGGGGCGATCCTCCTCGACGCCAACGGCCATTATTTGTCGGCTTTCACCGCCCCATTGATTGGATGCCACTCCCCGCTATCGGCTGAGGCTATTGCATGCAAAGAAGTCTTGTCATGGCTCAAGAGGCGGGATGAATTATCTATACAAGTATTCACGGATTGCCAAGTGCTACAGTCCTATCTATCGGGACCATCAATAACACCACGGTCATACCTGGGCTATGCTATCGACAACTGCAGAGCTCATATATCTACTTTTTCGTATTGCTCAATTATTTACATTCCTAGATTACAGAATTCATTAGCTCATACTCTAGCTTCTACAGCTTTCACGTTTGATACTGCTATGTACTGGGACAATGTCCCTCCAGACTCTATTTTACCACTTCTATAAATACAACCTCCAGGTTGACTTTCAAAAAAAAAAGGTGGGAGCGTAAGCTGAGCCTTTTTTTTTTTTTTTTTTTTTTTTTTTTACTTCTTCTATTTTCTCCCTCCTAGTTAACCTGCAAAGATTGTAGAAACAACCCCACTCTTTGGGTTGCTTAGTACCATATACCATGCTTATGAGTTATGCCCACTGACTTATATTGGTCTTTAATTTAACCTTAAATGTAATAAGTTTTAATATTAAGTAATTTTCATTTTATAATTAAATTAATTTTTTTTTTTTTTTTGTGTACAACATCCCGTATTCTCAGACCTTATAGTTAAATTGATAATTTGATAACCAATATATTGTTCTATATATGTTGGTAGGTTAAAATAAATATTTTTTAAAATATACGAAAGATTAACATCACAAATATTAAACAACTTCATAAAATCATGGCTAAATCATATATCTCTATACAATTGTAGTTAAAAATTGAGTCACTCAGTTACCGTGATTTACCATTTCATTATCTTGTCGAGGCGAAGTGTGAAAATTGAGAAATTCCTTTAGGCGGTTAAATTAATGTTTACTTTAAGTTGACTAATATTCATCAATTTTGTATTTAATAAATAGGCGCAAATGATTAAGTACAGACATAAAAAAAAAAAAAAAAAAAAAAAAAAAGGAGGGTAAAACACTACTGGAAATTATGAAATTTTCGACCACCTGAAAGTGATCTTAAATCAAGTCGAAAATCTTATTCTGACCACTTTTGGTATTCGGAAAAACCTTTGTTGTTATTTCCGATCACTTTTTGGTATCAACTTGATTTAAGATCACTTTCAGGTGGTCAGAAATTTCATAATTTCCGGTAGTGAAAATGTAAATTAATATACGCATTTTAGACTATGCATTTGAATTATTATTCGGAATATTCTTATACGAATATACATATAAATATTATTTTATTAATTATTATATCATATGATTCAGAAGACAATACATATATAGCAAGTTTTTGAACATGCATATGCTGATATGCAACATAATGAAACTATAAAAGACCATCCAGCTAGCGCCATGAAATTAAACTCCGGCCGGCGGCCCCGGCGGGTTAACACCGCTGAGGCAACCGGTGCCACAGCCGACGCTGTTGGTGCCGCAAGCGGTCATGCACGCCAAGGAGTCAAGCACGGCGGCGGCGCCGCACTGCATGGTGCAAGCGATGGTTCTCTGGCTACAGGTGACGAGGCACTGCCCTAGCTGCGCCGGCTGCGGCTGCCCTCCGCCTTGCCGCACCGTCGCCACCAGAAGCAGCAGCATCATTATCGCCGTCGTTGTACTGGCAGCATTGATCTGAAGAAACCCCATTCTAGATTAACGATGATGAAAATGGTTTTGATTAATTGATTTTAATTTGTGTGTGGGTGTGATGAGCTGAGAATGGTGAATATATATAGTCGATATGATTACACAGTACAGCTGTAGAGTTCATTAATGTGCATATAAAGGTGGTAAAGATGCAGAATTGCAGGCTTGAAGCAAGGAGGAAAGTGATGAGCTTTCTGTTAGGAGAAGCGTCATCTATGCATGTATAACGTGCAGGCCGGCCTGTGTATATATGTCCCATATCCCACGCTACAATTCATGCTCTACTTTGTAACTATAATATTAAATAAGTTTAATTTTAAGCGGAACTTGATTTAACTTTTAAGATCACAAGTCTGAATTTACCCAATGTATAGTCTCAGGCAAATTATATTATGCACCGCGGTGCATATATAATCGATTATGCACCGCGCGTCTTTTTTTTTTTAAATGAAAATAAACAGTGTTAGTTTCCGCCGTTTCGTACCCTTTTGCAAAAAGTAACTCTGTTATTCAGTGTCATTTTGTATACACTGCAGTTTCAGTTCAACACAACTACAGTTTCATTTCGATATAACTATAGTTTCATTCGATATTTTATAGACTCAAATATGTGAAAATGTTATTTAATTTTATTTTATATACATTATAGTTTCATTAAAACACAACTACATGATTATTTTGATATAATTACAGCTTCATTGTACAATATACACTCAAATATGTGAAATGTTATTCAGTTTCATTTTATATACACTGCAGTTTCATTTCACTATAACTACAGTATCATTTTGATATAACTGCAGTGTCAGTTTAGATATACTATAGTGTCAGTTGGTGTTTAATACACCAGACAAGCGGACTCCGTTAACTCTAACGGCGGGCCGTTTCTTTACTTAAAGAAACGGCGCCGTTTTTGACCGCGGTGCACATGCACCGCGGTCTATAATATAACGACTGATAGTCTTAGGTAGTAGCTGGCTCTGAATTTTCCGGTTATGATCACAAGACTGGATTGACCTGTGCACAGTATCGACAATATTACATATTGCTTTTCTCGATCCCACAACTTCTCATATAAGGGAGTAACTTGGTGTCATTATACCACAAGTTATGATTACTTAAAAAGACACAAATTGATATATATCTTAAATATGTTAGGTCATGTTAAATTTGGCAGCGTAACATTTTCTAAGTCTCAACCAACCTTAGCTAGCTTTCACATGCACCAAATCAAAGAACCGACCAGTAGCCTAATATCTGGCCGTTTGCCCTGATATGATGGATGCTAATGTGAATATGTGATAATAATTAAAAGTTACGGCCAAGTATTTTGTTGTCTGATGACATTAGTGTTATCATTTTACATGGAAGATCACAAGTTTAAGTATCATGTCAATTAAAGATGTTGGCATATTATAGATATATAATTAAATTATAGTCATCAACAGGCTAGCTATTCCATTCAAAAGAGGTACTTATAATTCATCGAAAAAGATTAATTACTGTGCCAGACGGTGAAAATCCTGAGTACACCTAAAATTATAGTCATCAAACAATTATTATTCTACTTTTGTCAACTAAATAGACCAGTATTCAAATGACACTATTCTCATTATTCATATATAAATGGTATTTAAGTTTTCAACACAAAAATTAAATATTTGTATTTTGTAATAATTATAATTTTTAATTAAAAAGCCAGCATAAACCCAATTTCCTAAGTTGGCAAAAATTACTACATTATAACATAATTTTATTATATTTTTCAAAATAAGCATAATATATATATATATATATATATATATATATATATATATATATATATATATATATATATATATATATATATATATATATATATATATATCAAAATTTCTACTGGTATCCGATATGATCCATAGTTCCCAATTACAATTTGAAAAAGGTTTGGATCGAGGAACACAAAAAGACAAATCCAAAAATTAATAATTAGTATGAATTAGGGGTGTGCAAACTTTGGATAATTTTCGGTAAACTGACCGAACTGATAAAGTTCGGTTAATCGTTTTCGAACCGAACTTTTTTTGGTTCGGTTAATGGTTAAAAGAATTTTAAAACTTCGGTTAACGGTTAATTCGGTTCGAAAGGTCGGTTAACCAAAGTTTTTAATATATATAAATAATAATATAAATATATATACTAATTTAAAGTTATGGATGTTTGGAGTTTATAATTAATGTTTTTGTATATTTTGTTATGAATTTATTATGATATGTATTTTATTTTAATTGAATTTATTATTTTAGGTGTTATTTTTAAAATTTTAAATTTTAATTTTAAAAAGTTCGGTTAATCGGTTAACCGACCGATTAACCGAAACAAATTTCGGTTCGGTGAATTCGGTAGAGCAAACTTCGGTTCGGTTAACGGTTAACGGTGAGCAATGACCTGTGGTCGCCTGTCACTTTTTTGCTTGAAATTTTTGTTGGAGTGTAGCGGATCTAATGACCTGTGATATTATGTCATTTACTGGTTTTTGGGTTTCATTACATCAAAATAAATTGTTGATGGTATAACTGCACCTTTAAAAAGTTGAAGGGGCTAATTGACTTATTAGCTAAAGTTCGAGGGTCTATTTGACCATTTTTCCCAAAAGAAAATAACAATAACTAGGGGTGTGCAAACTTCGGTGAAAATTCGATTAATCGACCAAACAGAAAAATTTCGATTTAACCGTTCTTTAACCGAAAAACTTCGATTTAGTTAATGGTTAAAGAATTTGTAAAATTTTGGTTAACGGTTAATTTGATTCGAAACTATTGGTTAACTAAAATAATCGAACGGTTAACCAAAATTTTAAATATATATATGAGATAGGTTGTTGTTTCAAACGCGTAATCCCAGTATTTAACTGGAACCGAACCTTGGGCTAGTAGAGTCAGACCGGTTTCGACAATGTGTTTATCCCGGCGCTCTACACGCCCGTTTTGCTCATGTGTATAGGCACAGGACTGCCTATGCACAATACCATGTGAAAGGAAAATTGCGTGCAGACGGCGGTATTCGCCCCCGAGGTTAGATTGAATAACTTTTATAGAACACGAAAATTGGCGTTCTACCATCACACGAAAAGCATCAAAACATTTATATATGTCTGATTTTAACCGTAATGGGTAAAACCAGCAACAACGGGAGTGATCATCGACAAATAAAAGAAAATAACGAAAACCCCCGGCAGAAACAACGGGTGTCGGGCCCCAAATATCGGTATACACTAAATCGAGTACATTATTGCTAGAATCATAAACTCTATCTAATGGGAAACGGGATGATTTCCCAAGCTGACACGACGAACACATTTGGGACGAACTCAATTTTTGTGAGGTGACCGACAACTGCGTAGAACACGCTCTTGGACTCGTGCGTGAGGGTGACCAAGCCAACGGTGCCAAACATCCGCCGACGCCCGAGCCGTAACAAACGCAATATGTGACCGAGACAATGACAGCTTGTATAAACCCCACGTGCTAGGACCTTTAAGGAGCACCATTTTGGTTTTGCAATCCTTCACAAGAAAGTAATTATGGTGAAATTCAAAGAATACATCGTTATCGGCAGTGAATCGATTAACAGATAATAATGGAAGTGAAAGATTAGGAACATGTAAAATATCAGATAAACGAAGAGATCTAGACGCGGAATACAGTGATGCATGACCAATACCAGAAATCCCCAAACCTGAACCGTTGCCTACGCGCAACACGTCGCCACCAACGTAAGGCTCGGAATGTGCCATCATGGTCGAGTCCAGCGTGGCGTGAGACGAAGCCCCGGTGTCCGGGAACCACGCATCTGCCGAGATTGTCACCTCATCACCGGTGACTGCCGAGTGAACATGTGGCGGTGGGAGACCGGAGTAGCGCTACCGGCAGTACAGAGCCGTGTGACCGTGCGCCCGGCAGACCTGACAACGTGAACCACCGCCTCTACGTCTTCTGTCGTTACCACAGCCTCCACGACCACGACCCTGCGAGTAGTTCGACTGCCGGTTGCCACCACTGCATTCATGGCTCTGCCGGTAGCCTCTGCCCGCCATCATCACTGTATGTCGACCGCCGGACACAAAATGATTCGAGGAGGAGAGGTTGTTTGTGGTGGCCGGCGGTGGTGCAGCGGCGGCGGTGACCGTCCGCTCACTGTAGTTGGTGGACATGGTTGGTAGAGAGAGAGTGAGAGAAACCTGGGCTTGCTCTGATACCAAATTGAAGCATGTGCTCCATCTCAACTAAAAGCCTAAGCTGATGGTTGGATTGCACATTAATGGCTATATGCTCAACACGCCCCCTCACGTGTGCGGTGGGTTCCAAGCAACACGTGGATCGTAGTCGCTTATGGGTGGCGCTGAGATTCGAACCCATGACCTTTGGTCTGGCTCTGATACCAGATTAGAGAATAATTTGCGTTGATTGAATGAATCGATCGTTACACAGAGATACAATAGACTTAGATGACTAGCCTAACTATCCCTATACATTAGCTAGCAGTTACTGACTAAATCAAAGTCTAACTAAACTAATATAATGTTACACTTTAATAATAATAACATAACATGTTAACACTATTCACAAATATTCCGAAGATGATGGTTATGTCACTAACTAAAGAGGGTCTAGGCTAACTTGCAGGATGCTTGAAGAGGCTAGAGGGTATTGAGCGTGGCAATCGTTGTTTTGGCTATGCATATAACTTTTTGTATTCATTAAACAAGCTTTAGATATTGGAACAAGTTTTATCTTACTACAATGTAACTAAAGTTTTTTTAGATGATTAGACTCTCTCTTTGCAAAGCACTTTTAGTAATAAAAGCTCCATTTCTCCTGTTATTTGAAAAGAGTAATGGGTATCAATTCTAGAAAGAAAATAGTAATAAAATCTCCATGCACTTTTAGAATTTTTTTTTCTTCAGTGAATTAGAATGACAATTCACTTATTTTAGGTTACGAAGTGTTAGATAAATAAAATCTGTCAAAGATGATATGCTATGTATATACATCTAGATTCCTATGGTTTTAGTAATCTGTCTTGAAACTGTCCTAACAATTGGTTTCATTACATTTTGTAAAAACCTAATTTACAGTTTTATTTATTTGAACAGTTTTTTTGACAAGTATAATTCTCTAATCTGTTATTTATTTAGAATTTCATGCCTTGTTTTTTTTTTTTTTTTTTTTTTTTTTTTTCAGTGTCATGAATGTATGACATTAACATAGATTAGGCAAATAGTGAAACTTTACATGGATTATGTGCACAAGGCTAATACTACATCATAAATTATCTCTATTTACAGTTAGTTTGTGTTATGTTTCCCCTTTTATGTTTTAGCTGTTTATCGCTCAGATCTGGTTAATTTTGCACGGTTTATAGTTAGTTTATGTTCTCAGTTAGTTTAGGGTTTAGGATTAATCTAACATGCATATGTATAGTTGTTTGGTTTTCTTGATCATAAAACATTGAAAATACAGTTATCTTTGCATTTTTCAGCATTATTCTTTATGTTAGAATGTCTATGTTTATAGATCATGTAGCACAACAATGCAATCCTGATTCCACAAATCCCTCTCTGCCTCTCCTTCTGCCCTCCTCCTCCTCAGTTTCAACAACTGTGTCAAAGAAACATAACTGGTGGAAGGAAAAATATGGGATCACCAAGGAGATAATCGAGGGACACCTTGATAAACATTTGTGTGATGCTGCCAAAATCCTTAAGGGTGAGCTTGTTATATGTTTTATTGCATTCGTACACACATATATATATTTATATATCCCGCCATTGTGCTTGCAGTTAGCAACACAACATTGAGTCGAGCCTATCGGGACTTTGGCATCCTTAAATGGCCACGTCACAGCAGGAAAAGATCCGATGATTCACAAGCTGCAAAACAAGATACACAAGCTGCTCCGAGTAAGAAGCGTAAGAGAGGTGTTGCAGATCTGCAAAGACTGTCAAGGTGAGATATGGAGAATTGAAAGTAGTGTTTGCACTCCCGCCCTCCTGGACTATTCAGGGTTTGCAGCAAGAACTTGAGTCGATTTTTCATATACCCGCCCACATATCGCATTGAGTATGAAGATGTCGTTGGTGATTGGATATATATACCGCGTGATTCGGATTTGAGTTTTTGTATGGGTGTATCAAGGGAAGGGAGTGAAATTCAGATGAGGGTCATCTTACAATCTTTACAAGCAGATCAAGCTCTGCCAATTGTTCCATCTACTGACATAGGTAGCGTAAATGTATGCCATGTCAAGAGAACAGCGAATCGCGTGGCTCACGAATTAGCTCGGGCAATCGGTTCTTCATCTGTCTCTGAAACGTGGGAATTCATCCCACCAGCTTGTATTTCTGGTCTGCTAAGTTGTTAATGAAAATGTTTGCGTTTGTTTCAAAAAAAAAAAAACTAATCTTTATATAATAATAATAATAATAATAATAATAATAATAATAATAATAATAATAATGAAATTAATATATGTTTATATAATTAAATATACATATGTGTATATTTATATATTTCACTTTTTTAATATTTAAGTTTTGATATACATTCATAGATATAAATAAAAAACACACATAATATATATATATATATATATATATATATATATATATATATATATATATATATATATATATATATTGATAGTATAAATTCCACATAAGGCGGTCAAGATACTAAAGAAGATCAAGTCAAAGCAAATAAAGACTTTTATTGATCAAGGGAGGACCTAATACAATCTAAAATGGCTATTCCGAGGGCCGACTGACTGCGGTCGGGCTGCTCTGTAAATAGCCTATTGATCGTCTCAAAAGTCCCCCACACTATAGCCGCCGCGGGTATTTATAGCCACTAGGCCGGACACAATTTCGGCCGGCCAGCATGTAACCCACGTAGCACCCACGTGTCTTCACCCAGCGAGCTCTGCCTGTCATCGTGTAACGTTGCCACGTGCTTCTTCTCGAATCTCTCGTTCAAGGGCCATCAACCGGGTGTTGTAGACATCGGTCGGGAGATATACCGGTCGAGTCCGACCGGCTTCCTTCAGGAATGTCCGACCTGTAAACCTGCACAAATAACAAGAAAAGACGTGGCATGCCGGTCGGGATATATCCTACCATATATATATATATATATATATATATATATATATATATATATATATATATATATATATATATATATATATATATATATATATTGAAAGGATCAGGTGCATTTGTTGCTTCCCGTGCAGATGTGCGGTGGATTAATGTGCGTGAGATTTGTACACAATGTGCGTGAGTGTTGTGCTTAATGTGCCTGAGATTTGTACTTAATGTGCGTGAATGTGTAAAATGCAGATGTCAACTTCTTCCCCATCCCCAGTAGTCATTTGCCCCCTCCCTGATGATGATGATGCGGAGACAGGCTATGGTGGTTAAGAATTATGGGAATAACACAACAGAAATCCACACTTAGCTACTGTGTAAATTTTACTGTGCATGCGTCATTTGTATAAACATTCAACTGCACTGAAGGTAGTTGATAATCCAGAATCCATGGCCAAATTGAAGGAAGAAGTAACAAGAAGATTGGGCGTTAATATGCGTGAGTTTCTGTTCTGCTTCCTTATGAGCTCGTAATTCTGAAATACTCACGCATATTAAGCACAAATCTCACGCACATTAAACACAATACTCAGGCACATTAAGTACAAAACTCATGCATATTAACATGACGCACATTAAGTACAAATCTCAGGCACATTAAGTATAAACCTCACGCACATTAATCCACCGCACATCCGCACGGGAAGCAACAAATGCACCTGATCCCTTCCATATATATATATATATATATATATATATATATATATATATATATATATATATATATATATATATATATATATATATATATATATATATATATATATATATATATATATATATATATATATATATATATATTATTGAGGGCATTATTGTAAATTGATCCATATAACCTAAAATATAACCCTGAACCAAACAAGGTAATATTATATTACACCATCCAAACCAAACACACAAGGTAATCTTACATTCCCAAAATCTCACATTACCTTCCAGGAGGTAATCCTATTACCTGGGGTAATCCAAGATTTCGTGAACCAAACGCCCCTAAGTTCAATTTTTTTTTACTTTCACATTAATATTCTTAGATTTCTTAAGTTTCCTTAATGAAGAAAACTGGTCCAGCAGACATCTTTTCACATTTTCAGACTCTTCAGTAGATTTAATCTTGTTATTCTGCTGAGTTGTTGTGACTGGACTATCTACTTCATCACCTTAGCTTGGGAGCCTTGTGTCAGAATAGTATATTGATAGAAAAAATGTGTAATGACTTGTCCAGTATTAGAGTGTACTCAAATTATCGACAATTTAACAGTAGACCTTTTTTTTCTATTTGCATTTTTTTTTTTTTGTTATTTGGTGTTGAATGTTCTCTTAAATATGGTATGATACTTGGAAAGTTACACCATTTTAGTGTGTCAGAATGAAATGTTTAGTATAAAGTAAATAGAAATGTTTAATGATAGTGCAAATCTATTTTCCATTAAGTTTTTTTTTTTTTTTTCTGCCTTGATTTTAATTCTATCTTGATTCTTTGATAATGTAGCCTAAACAGTCATGATAATTTTAGTCTTGTCATGTCTCAAACTGTACTATAATGGTATCAACTCTTGTTTAGTTCTTTCTGGTATCACAATGTACTATAGTGTTAGCTTTTGTCAGGTTAATTTGCATATTCTACCATGTTACACTTCAAATTTTTTAAGAAATGTAGAAGTTCTTATTGCTCCATTTTGCGTTTACTTTAATTTTCTGTCCTTGGTTATAATTCAAAAGATTCTTTGATGTACTTTCCAAAAATGTCATTCTATTTTTAAGTTTTGGTCAAGTCTTAGAATGTACTATAATCTTAGTAATTGATCTTTAGTTTTTGTTTTGGTTTAATATAATTTTTTTTTTTTAATTGTTGTGTGCAGTTTTAATTGCAAATTACTACATGTTGGACTAACTTATGTTTTATTATAAGAGAAATGCTGTGAGGTATTCAACATACCATCAAACAATTTGAAAGTTTTGGAGAAGAACGCTAATATAACAGAAATTTTCTTTTTATTTATGTGATTATAATGTTTTTACCTACTAATAACTAACATGTTTTTTAAGGTTAAGTCAAATTGATGGTGTTGAATAAAAATAAATCACACAACCCGTTTTTTACCCAACGCGGCTTTATACCCAAAGTTTCAACCCGCTGTATCTTGCCTTATTCTGTTATTACTCAGTTACTCCTACCGTCTTCTGTAGCTGTATTATACGGATCACTGTTTCTCTTCACCTTTCGGTTTGATATTTTCTTCGTCGAGTCTCGCTACGCTCTACACTAAATTCAACAATGAGTTCCGGTAAATCGCCCAAATTACCTTATCTTTTTTATCTGAATTTTTCTTCTTAGAATTTGATATGTAATAATTGAATATATAAATCCGCCTGTAATGCTTCTCTGGTTTATGCTACAGATGCGGATATGGAGGATTACGGTTTTGAGTACTCCGACGAGGAGCCTGAAGAGCAGGACGTCGATATTGAGAATCAATATTACAACTCCAAAGGTTTTTTTCTTAAGTTTATGCTTTTAGTTTTCTTAGCTTCAATATTCTGAAAACTGAAAAGTGTGAAGTTTGCTGTTAGGCTTTCAATTTCTCTCTGGTTATTCTTGTTTGGTGTTATTACGTGAAAGTTCCGCACCTGGACAAGTAGTGAAGTAGGCAACAAGTTATTTTAGCCGTCAGAGTGATTTTTTTTACGCTCAGGAGCATCGAATTATGTGAAGAAGAAGAGAGAAGGAGAGAGAGTAAGCATGCATTGTCAATTGGCAGTGCAGGCTTCCTCTGCTGCCAAGGAGTGATGGTCTGGTGATCATGTTTAGTGTAGAGGAATGTGGTCTGAGGGACACACAAGAAGGCAAGGCAGGTTTAGATAGATCATAAGGGGCTTTGTTGAAATTTGTACTTGCAAGGTTTTGTGCATGTCTTTCATGTTCTTTTTTCTTCTTTGAGTCATATTAATCAGTACTTAGCTTCTATAGTTATACTTGAAGCAAAAATATTACTCCGTATAACCTCATCAAAATCTGATTAATCTGTGAACAGTACCAATGGAAAAGAAATTGCAGAAGAGAAAATGTATGTTGGACTTGTGTTGTTCCTTGCTAGTGTTTTGACTGCAAACTAATAATTGATACATTAACCTTGCTATATCTGAAACCTTTTAAAAAAAACATATTCTTTATATTTGTATGTTCAACCTTTTTTCCTGAACCTTCTTTTCTCTTTTCCAAATTTAGTATTCCTTAAATTACTATTTTTGTCTGTGTTTTATTCATAGGCCTGGTTGAATCGGATCCAGAAGCAGCACTTGAGGGTTTTGCTGAAGTAGTTAGGATGGAACCTGAGAAAGCTGATTGGTGAGTACTGCAAACTTCTTAAGTTGTTTTTGGACTGGTTGCAACCTATTGGAGTAGTTGTTTTATAGGAGATGAATGAGTATAGTTAGAAGGCAATTGGGTCTTTGACTTGGGGGCTCGTTCTCTATGCTTTTTGAGGAAACCAAAATACTGCAGCATGTTTTGGGGTTTTCCGCCTTTATTTATTTACTCCTTTTTTCCTTGCTGTTTCCAGGACAGAGGGTTGGATTGCTTGAGAGATTAAGGAAAACATATATGTGAACATCTTTTATGGGATCTATTCTGCAGGAGGCTAATTCTCGTAGTATTATGAATAGGCTTTACCTCGAATTCATTTTCTATGTCATCCCTTAAAGATTGCTTGTATTGATGATGGAGTTTGCACCAGTTAAGTTAGTCCTTAAGTAATATGCTTTTTGTGTTTCTATAACATTTCGAAATAGGCTTGTAAGTCATGTAGCTTGAATGCTAATTGGGGTCCCTGATGCATTATGGGGACATGCTTACTGTTGAATTTGGAAGATGAAATGGCCTGGCGGGTGGAGAATAATACCACCCGCCAGTTAGGCGGAAGCAATATAAAGAATCAAGACTAGGAAATGAATATAAAACTGAAATTATATTGGTATATTCTCTCTGTTTCTAATACAGAAACACAGTACATATATACACAAAGACATAACTGTAAATAACTACCCAAGTAACTACCCATAACTGACACCTATTCATGAACATACACAATCCTATAGATAAACCTAACTATTTAGTTTTCAACACTCCCCCTCAAGCTGGAACATCTAGAAGTTCCAAGCTTGGATTAAAACATACACTCTACATTACAAATGAAGATTAAAAGCAGCTAGAGAATAACAGTGCTGGATGGCTTTGGAGGAACAATGCTATAAACAACCCTTGGGAATGAAGGCACCAGGGACGAAGCTTGTCACAAACTGACACGAACACCCTCACAGCAACATAAGTACTCTAGGATTTGCCAACAACAATCTTCATCACGAACGACAGAGCAAACCAATCTGAGCAGCAAATGGGAGGTAGTAGAGCCCACATGATTGTTGTATGAATACCGAGAAAACCACATGATTGTTGTTTATACCTCTTATAGGATAAGTGAATAACAAAAGAAGCTTCCGGAAATAAACAAGGTGCCAAACATGAAAACCCTAGGGACTAAGTATGGTATACCGAATATAAAGAAACAAATACGGTTATACCAAAAACACCCCGGAAAAAGGTTTGGCAACAAACCCAAAAAGCCTTCAAACTTTCACCAAAAGGTCCAAGGGCAAAACAACAATCTGGAATTTTCACCGGAGAATACATCACAAGGAAAAATACACCACAGCCAAATCTACGCAGATGGGGTTACGGGGTACGGACAGAGGTTTCTGGAGAATTTCGTCGGAAAATCACGCCGGAGGTGGGCTCACGCGCCAGCGCGTGAGGGAAGGTCGCCGGCGCGATTCCGAGAGTGACTGTGGTTGTAGATTTTGAAGCAAACCACCATAGATACGTTGGAATTCAAGAGGCAGTCTCAGGGCTACTGTTTATGCCGGAAAATATAAGGAAAATGCCCTAGGAAAGTGGCTCTGATACCATGTTGAATTTGGAAGATGAAATGGCCTGGCGGGTGGAGAATAATACCACCCGCCAGTTAGGCGGAAGCAATATAAAGAATCAAGACTAGGAAATGAATATAAAACTGAAATTATATTGGTATATTCTCTCTGTTTCTAATACAGAAACACAGTACATATATACACAAAGACATAACTGTAAATAACTACCCAAGTAACTACCCATAACTGACACCTATTCATGAACATACACAATCCTATAGATAAACCTAACTATTTAGTTTTCAACACTTACCAACAGAGGTCACAGAAGTAAAGAGGCGGCAACCGGAGAAAGCTTTAGTATTTTGATCTATTAAAATTTATTGACATTAGTTGTTTGAACATAGAAGTCCCACACTCCCACTAAGGATTCATAGTTTTTCCTGCTAGAAGTTTTCATCTCATCACTTCACCGACATTCTTCTCCATTGTTTTCAGGGGATTTAAAGCCTTAAAACAAACTGTTAAGCTGTACTATAAGCTGGGGAAATACAAAGAAATGATGGATGCTTACAGAGAAATGCTGACTTATATTAAATCAGCGGTAACACGTAATTACAGTGAAAAGTGTATAAACAATATTATGGATTTTGTTTCTGGATCAGCTAGTCAGAACTTCAGCCTCCTCCAAGAGTTCTACCAAACAACACTGAAGGCTCTTGAAGAATCAAAGAATGAGGTCAGACTATAGGTAGATCTTAGATGGAAGCAAATGTCCTAAAAAAAAATTATCATTCACTTGTTTGTCTTGCAGAGGTTGTGGTTCAAGACAAATCTAAAGCTTTGCAAAATTTGGTTTGACATGGGTGAATATGGGAGGATGAGCAAGGTGCTTGTTTTCAGGTTACATCAAGATATTATACTGCTCTTAATATGGATAGTGAATATAACGAATCTTTCTTATTAGATTTTGAAAGAGCTCCATAAGTCTTGTCAAAAAGAAGATGGCTCTGATGATCAGAAGAAAGGAACACACTTATTGGAGGTATATGCAATTGAGATCCAAATGTACACCGAAACTAAGAACAACAAGAAACTGAAGGTACATAATTATATCTCTTTTAGTTCCTCAATTTGATAGAATAATTTATTTTAGCACTCCATTTTCCTAATTTCTTTGAGTGGATATTGATGCATCTTCTCTTTCTTCTTATCCGTCTTTTCCACTCCCTGCTTTCTGCACTCCTTTTGTTGATATTGTGGTTTTCTAGAGATTCCATGGTTACACTGTTTTGTTTTACACTGCTTCATAGTAGAGTAAGTGAATCGCGATAAGAGATTTTGAGGTAATGGAGAATGAATGGTGTGATTAAGGGAAATAAAGAGTGTACCATGCTTATGCAATCTGAGTTGTCATTTCAAAATGCTTCTGAGAATTCTGGCATTGCTTTTGTTTTTACTTTATAGTTTCTATGCAAATAATAGTTGTTTATGAATTAATATGAAATTTATGTCATCTAAGTTCATAAATCATAATTAATTACACTCAGGAAGTAACAATATTTGTACTTGTTTGCTGGGTAGTATTGACATAGATGACATGACAATAGAGCATAAGGGACTAGCAGCTTCTATTTGTCAGTTTTTTTTTTTTTTTAATTTCTGCCAGGTAGGGTGCAAAATTGATATTGGAATATATATATATATATATATATATATATATATATATATATATATATATATATATATAGAGAGAGAGAGAGAGAGAGAGAGAGAGAGAGAGATTTGTAATACATCTTTGTCTAAGTGCTTAAGTCTCAATGTGACATAATGGTTTTCTCAAACTTCAATATTAGAAGCTGTTGACCTCTTCACCTTGGTTGCTCAAGGTTCACTTGGGTTTGGATACAAGTGCAGCTCTGTCCACAACAATTAGAATAAATAACTATTAGGCCAAGTATTCCTGGAACCATCTATTAACAGTTTTGTACTCCTAAGCCATTTCTTCGTGAATTGCCTTGTTTCATGCCTTCTTGTGCAATTTGTGTTTTACATATGGTCATGCAACCTAAGTGTTGATAGTGTAATTATATGATGATTTTATGAGTTGTGTATCACTTGTATGCCAACTCATTAACACATGACTTGGGTCGGGTTGGATTTGAAGTACCTCCGATGTAGCAGAAATTTGTATTCTGTGGGGGTAGCTCATTCTTAATTTCTGTGTGTACTCTTCTGATTTTTCTGAATGCCCAAATTGCTATTTTTGAGATTCAAGCAAACATGATTTTTTTATTTTTTTTTTATTCCAGGAATTATACCAGAAAGCACTGTCTATAAAGTCAGCAATTCCTCACCCACGAATTATGGGAATCATTCGCGAATGTGGAGGTAAAATGCATATGGCTGAGCGACAATGGGCAGATGCAGCTACGGACTTCTTTGAAGCTTTTAAAAACTATGATGAAGCTGGAAACCAGCGGCGTATCCAATGTCTAAAGTATGTATTATACTTCAGTCTTGTTTGCTTGAGTAGGCATATTTTGTGTGTATGGCATCTCTATGTTTGTGTGCTTCTTTTAGCATCTTCTCTCTTCAATTTAAAACAATAGTATACAGTGAATGTAATCTATGCTCATTATAAGAAAGAAGGTATATCATAGGTCTGCACTCTTGGAGACTTGGACAAATGAAACACTATTCCCTTCAGTCCAGAGCATCTCCATTTCAACTTTTCTCCCACTTTACCATCATCTTCTGGTTGTTAGGAATTTTGAATGGAATTCTGCTGGAAGGCTAAAAATCATTGCGCTTGTAGATGATGACCTGAGGAAGAATTTCAATGATAAAATAGCAAAGTTGTAGGATGAAAATAGTGGTACAAGTGATGATCAGTACATGCATTGAACCACTCCCCATGCTTCTCAAGACTTGTTGAATGCCTACCATTTGTTATTACTACCCATGACAGTTGAGTTAAAAGCATCTCAGGCAAGTTCTGGACATGGCACATCATGCCATGTTTGTAACACGAAAGCTTTCAATTATGACCACATTTACCTTTTGTTTCTATAATGAACTTGATGAGATTACTTGTACCAACTTAATTACTTTCTGATCAGTACCTTCCTAAAATGGCCATGTCCAAATCTACCTGTCTTTTGGTCAACTCTTCCTGTGGGGGCTTTTCCGTTATTTTTTTGGGTTGGATTTTCCCACTTTTCCTTCCATTTGTTATATGAGGTGCAAAGTAATATCCAGACTCCCAGCTGATGGGAAATCTCTGTTTGCCAGTTTTCCTTCCATTTGTTACATGAGGTGCAAAGTAATATCCAGACTCCCAGCTGATGGGAAATCTCTGTTTGCAATAACTGGCAGTTTTATTTCAGTCCAAGTCTTGCAGAGATTATAGTGCATCTTCAGATGTTTTTGGACTTTTAAATACTTTCGCTTTCATCTAAACTCTTTATTAAGGTCATTTCTCACAAATTGGAATAGATATCATAATTGTTAAATTGTAATTTTCCACATTTGCATCACAAGTATAGCTTTATGTTCTCTGACAATAACGTGATTACATGTTGGCTTGTGCAATTTTGGGGTTTTACCAATGCTCTTTCATCTATACAATACAAATACTTGGGTTTGATTTGAAATTTAGCTTGTTGGGCAATAAAATATATTCAAGCTATCTCTAAGAATAACTATTTTACTTCCTCAAATTCGGCAGATACTTAGTATTGGCTAATATGCTGATGGAGTCTGAGGTCAACCCTTTTGATGGCCAAGAAGCAAAACCGTATGTATTTAACAAATTTAATTTGAGCTATTTTTTATTTTCTCAAAGTCCACTTATCAGTGAGTATGTCTATGCTTGTCCACTTTATTGTGTGTTTATTAATGTGACCAAACTCTTCTGCGTTGTGCTTTTTAGATATAAAAATGATCCTGAGATATTGGCAATGACAAACTTGATAGCAGCATATCAACGAAATGAGATCCTGGAGTTTGAAAAAATTCTGAAGGTATTTCTATTTCACTATCTATAGTTTACATGTCTTCTCAATCTTATGATTTAAACTGATTTTGTAAATTTCTTCAGAGTAATAGAAGGACAATAATGGATGATCCTTTTATACGAAATTACATTGAAGATCTTATGAGGAATGTGAGGACTCAAGTATTGCTCAAACTGATCAAGCCTTACACAAGAATTCGGATCCCTTTCATATCCAAGGTGATTAGATAGAGATCAGTGTCCTCTTTTACAGTGAAGAGCTGCAAGGACATTCCATATTTGTTTTCCTATTTATCTATTCATTATTACAGTATTATTTTAAATACCACCATTCTTCTGATTTTTGTTGGTTTTTGCCTTTTTTTGCTATTCCCTTCTGGTGGGTGGATACCCAACAGGGAGATAGGTTGGCTTACACCGTATGTTGATATACAGGAACTTAATGTACCTGAGAAAGATGTGGAGGAGCTGTTGGTCTCGCTAATATTGGATAATCGTATACAAGGGCACATTGATCAGGTGAACCGGCTCCTAGAACGTGGTGACAGGTATGTAGACTTTTGAAGTGTAGTACCTGTCTATTCCAATGACTTGTTTTTCCACACTATATTTCACATTTGTAATGTTTTGCATGCAGGTCAAAGGGGATGAAGAAATACACTGCCGTGGATAAGTGGAACACACAGCTTAGGTCCCTCTATCAGACCGTTAGTAACCGAGTGTGTTAGTTTTTGAGATTTTTTGTGAGTATATCCTATCTGAAAATGTCACTCCTGGAAAAAACAATAGATTACAAACATTATGTTTACTTTTGCACCGAAGATGTTCATGGGTAGTGGAGAAGTGTCCATTTACAGAGATGTTGGCTCAAATCTAGTTTAAATGTTTTTGACAAATTTGCTTACCAAACAACTTAAAAAGTTAGAAGGTACTTCATCATTAGCTGTGTAAATTACCAAACTACTGGGGCAGGGCTGAGTTTTTGGTGTTCCCTTCCATGTGATCAGAGTACACGTAGCAAAGATAGAGTGATGGCTTCTGGAGGTGGGATTTTGACATTTTGTCAAGCTGTTTCTAACTCGAATATTATATGGTTGATTGTATGTCTACAGCTTGGCTTTATCTTTAAAAAGGATGAAGTGTGTGCCCTGATTCTACAAAGATGACTAGATTTCTATCTGCCTCTTCAACGGTCAAGTTAAGCTGGCCCAGACTTGTATAGTTGTATTTGCTCTTATCTCGAATAGTTGTTACTTTCAACAATAGCTCGTTGACCAATCCAAAGTAAAAATAGCTTTACTTCACTGGTCATCGTAGGTAAGTAAAACACATTTGTGATTTACTTGCTCAGAGTTCTAAGGGCATCCATATCAATGATTTTTGAGAGGTTTTTGAAGATGCTAAATTTATGTGGAAAAGAGAGAAGAAAAAGAGATTTTGTAGGAGAAGTTTGGTTTTTGCTGAAAAAATAAGACCCACTAGAAAAGCAAATAATCTCCTTGGTGTGCGTGAGGCGTGCCTAGCTGGGTGTGTGCACTCCACGCGCCCACTAGGCTCATTAATCTGTATATATTTTTTTATTATTTTTTTTTGCTTTTTAGATTTTGTTTTTCCTTTTCTTTTTATTTTGTTTTTTATCTTTCCTCTTATCTTCTCTTTTTCAGTCACGCGTACAAAAAAACTCATTAAAAATTAAACTATTAGAGATCCTCTAACGTAGAATAGATGAGGATTCTTAAGTTTTTTTTTTTTTTTTTTTTAATTGGTGGTCTATATTTTGCTCCTTTTTTTTTTCACCTCAAGGCTGAAGGCAACCAAGAATTGAGGAGTATTTTTTTTTTTTTGGGATTGGCAATTTGAGTGGTTGGAAGTGGAAATTAGGTGGCGATAGAAGCAGCATGAGGTGACGTGATGGGGGCCCAATCTGCAGTCTCTTTCCGCTTTTAGTACAAATGTTGAATGTTGAATTTGGCAGGCAAGAACGGACAATCACATGGACCCCTTGCCATGTACCACCAATCCTTAATTGGATAAACACCACTATCAATCATTGTCGTCTCTCACTCATTCTTGTAATTTACAGGGCGTTTCACAGTTGTTATAGGGTCTACCTTGCAATGTCTATTCTTAGTATTAGAATTGTGAACTTTTAGAATATAAATAGTATTTTGAAATTTTGGAATTTATGGATACAATAATACATAGTCATCACAAATTGTAAATTTTTAAAAGGTAAGTTTTATATCCTTGAACACAGGTCCACAAAATAATTTGCCGGCGTTTGATTGGCAAAATAAGGTATGAATTAAAATTACATTACTTGATAGAAGGAATAGAATTATTAGAAATGAGAAGAAAAGAAGTTATATAAAAATTAAAATGTCATTATATAATAATAATAATAATAATAATAATAATAATAATAGGAATTTAGTCATTTTCATGTTTTTTCTTTTTTCAACTGTTGCTGAATTAAAATTCCCTCAAACCAAGCAATGTAATATCACTAGTCAAAGAATTACCTTACGGAAAAAACAAAACAAAACAAAAACAATTACAATGTACCAAATTGGCTGTTATTCTGTTAACGGCCCGTTTGGTTTGCTGGAAAATATTTGAAAGGAAATGGAATTCAAATTCTATGGAAAACAAATTACCATGAAAATAGATTCGATTGTTTGGTTAGTGGAAAAGAAATTACTGGGGATATGAATTCCATTGTTTGGTTGGGTTTGGAATGGTAAGGAATTATGAATATAAAGACCAATATGCCCTTAACAATAATTTATACATGTGTAGTTAATAAATTTTAATGGGGGCAAAATAGTCTAATATTACTATATTTTCTTCCCAACTCATTTGAAAAACAAAATAGCAATATTTAGGTAGGATTTTCTTTTCCTTCACCTTTGGGAAGTCAAATTCCCATGGAAAAGATTTTCCATCCAACCAAACAAAGTAAAAACTACATTTTCCTACATTTCATGAAAAATCTTTTCCATAGAATTTGATTTCCATCCAATCAAACACCCCCTACGTTCATCTTCCTCGTCAATGTCGACTTATCTTAAATTCTTCAAAATTGTCATTAACTGCCTTTTAGTTTATTAATTAATCTAAAATATGTGGGAAGAGCGTATTAATCACTCGTTATTTCGCCTAACTCACTCCATTCTATATCGTTAATATATTATTTATAATTAATACGGAGTAATTAATATTAGTTTAATATTAAGATAACATGTCATATAGTTATGTAGTATGAATATTTGAAACTAAAAATTTTGTATATAAAACTGAAAATTTTATGTAGTATAATTTTGTTTTTTTTTTTTTTTAACTAGTATAATTTTGTTAATTTAAAATAATATTTGAATATGGATTCATCCCAACTTTTAGAATACTATAGATCATTTTGTTGATTATATTCAATTGAAGTTTTCTTAAATTTAATCTATAACAGATAGATATTATCCTACCGTCATGGGTTCGAGACGGTATTGACTCGTTAGATTTCAGTAGATTGAGAAGATATATATGAACAGTTACTACATGTAACAGGGTCATACTAAAAAAAAAAGTCTATAATAAGTAATTATAATTAATTTATTAATTAAAGATACATTATTAATATTAACTTCTAAAAGGCTGAACCCCAACCTTAAGGGTCCCCCACACTCCGACCCGACAGAGCATTTGGGAGGATTATTAATAGAGTTAATACCCAAAATGGTCCCTCGACTATGCCATAATTACCAATTTGGTCCTCAACTATCATTCTTACCCAATTAAGTCCTCAACTATGTAACTTTTACTCAATTAAGTCCTCAACTATACAATTCTTACCCAATTTAGTCCTCAACTATACAATTCTTACCCAATTTAGTCCTCTGTATTAATTTGACTGTTTGCTGACTGTCAAAAGTCGGGATAAAATTATAATTTTACAAGATTTCTCCTTTCTCTCCATTTAGCAGCGCCAAACCATGCAGCAATACACTCCGATTAGATTTCGATCGTCAAAAAATCGTTGGAAATCAAATTCATGGGCTATCCGATGCATAACCACTACTTCGATACTGACAGGTTTAGAACTCAACCGGAGCTTATTGCTACATGATTTGGCGCTGCTAAATGAGGAGGAAGGAGAAAACTTGTAAAATTACAATTTTATTTTCACTTTTGACAGTCAACAAACAGTCAAATTGACAAAGGACTAAATTGGGTAAAAATTGTATAGTTGAGGACTTAATTGGGTAAGAATGATAGTCGATGACCAAATTGGTAATTACGACATAGTCGAGGGACTATTTTGGGTATTAACTCTTATTAATATTAACTTGAATACACAAGGTGAGTACTCATCTCGTAATAGGTCGAGATAGATGTTGACCTTGTTTGGTAAATGGTTGTTAGCTATTAGCTGAATGAGTTAATTAGAGAGTATAACTAGTTGATAACATTAGCTGATTGTAAAAATGTGTTTGGTAAATTAGTTGTTAGATGATAGTTGTTTGGTATAAATTTTTTTTCTCAAAAAAATTCATTGAAAAAGTTGTTTTGAGCAGCTTTTTGAATTTTAACATTTTGAAATTACAAAAAAAAAAAAAAACACTAATTAATCAAACACTTATATTAATTTGTTAACCAAGTCAAACAATTAATAATAGTCAAATAAGCTAAAATTGATTGATAGACTAACTTTTTTTTTGAACTTCCAGGACTATGTGGTCTAATGGTACCCGGGTTGAACTTCCATTTGGAAGATTATGAGATCGAGCCTCAGTGGAGGCGTTACTGGTTCTTTGTGTTTCAGTAGGTTGAGAATAGAGCTAGTAACTTTCAAAAAAAGATTGATAGACTAACTATTTTACCAAATAGAGCAAAAGTTCCATTCAAAATTCAGTGAGTCAAAAATTATTATAGTCGATATTACACGTCTCACTGTCATCGATCTCTAATTACAATTTACTGTTGGCTTGAGTTAAGATGCAATGTATAACAAAGATGGATAGATGCACTTGATCCAGTTTGTTAAATGGTAACTTTATATATTTTCAACAACTCACGCACACTAAGTGATTGTACATTCGTGTACAACACAGGAACGAAGTCAAAAATTTTATTGAGGGACCGCGAAAAAGTAGAGACAAATTCAGAAATTTTTTCCATTAAAGGCGAAACATTAAAACAAAAGATAATTTAAAAAAAAAAAATACCTAAGAAATATAATTGTAAATATTGTTGAATATGGACAAAAAAAAAAAAAACACATCGAAACTTTATAAAAATATTCATAACAATATATGAAACATAATTAATTTGATAAAATAATTTGAATAGAAAACATATTATAAATTACATATCTCATTATTAATATAAGAGAATGTTATATACGAGTGTGTTAAATATTAAAAAAAATTGTAAAACTATGTTGATGCCAAAAGATTCAAACCCCTAACCTTTATTATAGCCAAATATATGCTCTACCAACTAATCTAACTCATTTATTATTGACATTTAACAGTTTTTGTATACTAATAATACTAAAACTTGTACTATATATACATACAAAAGCAGTGTTGCGAAAATTGCACCTAGGCGCTAGGCCATTAACCTTCTAAATATCTTAAGCAGTCCCAGACGCCTAGTAATTTTTTCAACACTATACAAAAGTTATATATGAGGTGGGAGGGACAGCTCCCCTGCCCCTTTAGCTCCGTCCGTGGTACCACATGGTAGGTAAGAATGTAAGATAATTAAATATATGTTTTGGAACGTCTAGAAACTTGTACACATTATTATTAACCACATAGTATTCATGTTCAAGGTTTTTAACATGTGTTATCGCTCCGCATAGTATGTACATCAGGGGCCATTTGTACCATCAAACGATTGTGATTTATAACAACTACTTATTTTTAATTCAACTTAATTATATAAAATATTATTAAACCAATCTATATTTTATACATATCATATTATTTTATTGAGTTGTTCATTATTTCACTTATACTAAAGGCTTATTAGTGAGAAAATTTATATGTTATGCCTTATTACAATTATACTCAATTATACATAATAATTATATACAGACCTTTAAATTTTATCAACAAAACATTTCATCTATCTCTTTAAAAATTTTATCAAACTTTACGGTATTGAAATTTATTTTAGATGTTTTAAATTAAAAAAAAATAGTTTTTAAAAGTCAATGATTAAGAGTGAAAATTTTTAAAATTGAAAATCATTAATGAAAAATGACTTTAATAGGTTCTTGCTTAAAACTATGCTTGGCATGGGTCCTTTTTGTAATTTAAAAAGCCTTCTCCGGAATTACTAGAAAGAAGAAGGATGTTAGCGCAATTATCCATATAAATACACACTGTACCCAATAAGCCAAAAAGGACAGAAATCCAGACCACGTGCCAACATTAGAATATAGCAGAGATTATCTATTATTTTCATTATTTAATAAAATTATAAAATATTAGTAATTTTTTAACTTTCAAATTGACTACCCGTGATTATTCGACTTTCAAATTGTTATCATCTCTGGTCTAAGTTAACCATCCATGATTCCTTACAAGAGGATCATGACTAGTTAAATTTTGAAAGTTGAAGGATCATGAGTGATTAATTAGAACTACAAATGTTAACAATTTGAAATTCAAAAAATTACGGGTAATTAATTTAAAAATTTAGAATTAAACGTGATAAATCGGAGACCTCATATGACACTAACTCTTTTTAAAAATTGACAGTTGATTTATTAGTTTTAATGTTTTTTTTTTCCTGGTTAGTAAGTATATACACAATTAAAACAACATTAGACTTAACTGACAATAAAAAAATATATATATAATATAATCTTGATAGGAACTGTTGATTTTTTTTTTTTTGGGTTAATTTGTATTGATTTTTTTTTTTTTTGAAAACAATTTGTATTGATATTTTTAATTGCAACAGTATTTGAAATTGACTCATTTATTTGTTTATAAGAATATTGTGAGGATTATCATATAAATTGCGAAATATAATATTCCAAATAATAATAATAATAATATAATATATAGACTCAATAATGGAGCATGCAAAATGATTGAGATGCGGGGAAGATTCGACGAACTAAAATAATTCAATAAGATATTCAACCTCTTCATAAAGTATATAAATTTCAATTCGATGGTGATATATGTTTTTTCTTTCATTCATAAAGTTTCCGGTCAAGAGAGTAATTAAATTATTTAATTAAACCCTTTCGAGGATTAAAATGGTAATTTCTTTATCTTTAAAATTTCGTCAATTTGATTTTCGAAAGGTTTAATCGATGAAATTTTAATAAATTCGATAATTAAATTAGTTAAAATTGAAAATTAAGAACTACATTGACAATTGAAAAATAATTGAGGGACCACAATAGTGATTTCCTCTTTAAAACTTATTGTATCTTATTATAATTGAACTTTTAAGTAACTTTAAACTTTCACTTATGGAGTAGTTGGGTCACTCTAATTGCAGCTAGGGGTGGACAATCGGTTAACCGAACAGTTTTAACCAAAGTTTTTAAAGGTTTAACCGTTAACTGAACCAAACTTTGTATTACCGAATTAATCGAACCAAAATTTTTTTCGGTTAACCGATTAACTGAAGTTTTTTAAGCTAATTTTTTTTTTTTTTTTGTTAAGAAGATTAAACTAAAGTTTTAAATCTTTAAAATAATACCTATAATAAA